TGGGCAGGACCAGGCTCGGGGAGTGAACTGGATTGGATGTGACCTAAGGGCAGGGCGAAGCCGACGTGGGGCGGAGTTAAGATTAGAGTGGACCCCCCACTTCTAAGTGGGACCGAACTGGGCCTTGGGGAGGAACTAGCCCGGGATGCCAGGTGGGGGTGTAGCCAGCCAGAATTTCGGGTGGATCCAGGTCGGGGGGCGGTCCAAGCCAGAATTCTGGGCGGGGCTCACACATCGAAGCGCAGGTTTTGCTTTTCTTCAAAGAAATAGTCAAGGACGAATTTGCGCACGAAGTCTGGGTTCAGCGTGTTGTCGATCACCTCGGTCCGTCCGAACTGGATAGGGGGGTGGGGGGTGCTGAGAGTCAGCGTGGAGCCTGCAAAGTGGGGTGGGGGGTTGATTCCCGGGGGCAGCTCTGGGCTGAAAGAGGACTCGCGGACTCACCTCCCTCCACTCCTGGCTGGCCCGGCTCTGCGTGTAAAGCACCACCACTGCAGGCGGGAGTGGGGGCGGGGAGAGAAGGACGTCAGGTCAGTCTGCACCCCCTCCCCGCTCCTAAGTCGCGCCCGCACACCGAGTTGCCCTCCACCCCGCCCTGGTGCCGCCTACTGGGGTCGGACTTGGAGAAGGTGTCGAGGTCCAGCAGGTTCCTAGAGAAAGCGACAGACAGACGGATAGAGGGTGGGTCATTCTGAACCCCACCGCCTCAACTCGGCCCTGAGTTGGGCATCCGGGGGAGGCATGGGGCTCAAATCGCACCTCCCTTCCTCATTCCTATATCCAGCCTGGGTCCGCGTTGTTAGCACCCTGGACAGCACCGGAAAGCTCAGCCCAAGGACCGCTTCCCTGCGGGCTGGACCGGTCCGTGTCCACAGTGTCCCCAGGAATGAGGGTTAGCTCCAGAACTTTGTCCTCCTGGGGCCCAGAATCTACTGGATCCCCGCGACCCATCCCTTGAACCCGCAGGCTAAGTGAGCCCTTTTTTTGCGGGGGGGACTGTTCAAGGAAACCCCCTCCCCTAACAGGGAGTCTGCATCCACGATTTTCCTGCTCCAGATGCTTCTTCCCCCCGGGTCTAGCCCCTGTCCGCCCCAGCCCCGGAGCCGGTTGGAGCTGGGCAGTGCCTACGCCCTCTCCAGCTGGCCAGCTCACCGGCAGGACACGGTAATCTCAATCTTGGTAGCCGGGACGCTGCGTTCAGAGGCTCCGCTGAGAGACATGGCTGGTCTCTCAGCTGGTAGGGTGGCCGGAGCACCTGAGGGCTAGGAGTACCGGCGGCGGCGGGGCCGGCCCCTGTGCTCCCGCGGTGGCGGCTGCACTCCCTCCAGCAGTGTGCGCTCTCCCGCCGCTCACGCCTGGACTGTGGCCGCGGGCAGCAACTCCAGAAGGCAACACAGCCCCGCCCAGCCCTGCGGGGGGCCCCCGCCCCATTGGAGCAGCCTCGGGCTGTCCGGGAACCTTACCCAGACCCCCTCCAACCCACACCTTGGGAGAATCCTTCCAGGGCATTTTTTCTGGGGCAAATCCCACGCCTCCTGAAGAGCTATCCACAGCGCTGAAGGGTTTGGGGCACCTGATGGGCAATTGGGACCTTTCCGCTACCTAAGCCCTCCCTCAACAATCGGCTTCTCCCCCTCCCACTGCCGCCCTGCCTAGGTCTCTGAACAGAAAGTCACACATTTGTTCACATTAACTGTGCGACCTTGGGCAAGTTACTCAACATCTCTGTGGCTCAGTCTCATTAGTAGAAAGGCCATTATAGCACCTACTTGGGGCTGTTGTAAAATTTTATTGAGATAATCCATGAAAAGGACTTGGCACAAGGTGTTATACACAGTAAATTCTCAAGAATGTTTGCTTCCTCTGTGCACTCATACCAATGACCTCTCTTGTATTAAGAGTCAGAGCTCATCCTAGCTGGTATGGCTCAGTGCATAGAGTGTCAGCCTACGGACCAAGTGGTCCCGGGTTCGATTCCAGTCAAGGGCACATCCCTTGGTTGCAGGCTCCTTCCCTGGCCCGGGTCCTGGTCGGGGCAGGAGGCAACCAATCGATGTGAGCACATTGATGTTTCTATCTTTCCCTCTCTCTTCCACTCTCTCTCAAAAGATCAATGGAGCCCTGACTGGTTTGGCTCAGTGGATAGAGCGTCGGCCTGCGGACTCAAGGGTCCCATGTTCGATTCCGGTCAAGGGCATGTACCTTGGTTGCGGGCACATCCCCAGCAGGGGGTGTGCAGGAGGCAGCTGATTGATGTCTCTCTCTCATTGATGTTTCTAACTCTCTATCCCTCTCCCTTCCTCTCTGTAAAAAAATCAATAAAAATATATCTTAAAAAAAATATCAATGGAAAAATATCCTCGGGTGAGGATTAATTTTAAAAAATAATAAAAAAAAATAACCCATTAAAAAAACAGCAGCAGCCAGAGCTCAGTAAAACAGTGGCTATTAACAGCACTGTGCAAAGCCCTACCCAGGTCTTTGAACTCTAATGAATTCATGGTGTTAGAGATGCAGACAATCTGTGAGAATGCAGCCCTCTTGGGTCTTGCTGTAGATGAGAGCGGTGGTCACACAGATCCATCCTCTCCACACCAACTACTGCCTCCCAAGTCCTAGAAGCCAGTCCTTCCACTATAGGCAGAGGCTGCAGGTCACTTGTACTAGGACTGTGTTGCCTGCAGAATTTAAAATGAACATACACACCCCCACCCTGTTCCCACCTAAATGAAAATGTCAGCAACCGCAAGTCTAAATTTCAGGCAGCCCTAAGAATCTGCATAGATAAACAGATTCCCTAGGTGACTAGAGCCTAATCAGCCCCAAGGACAACTGCTTCAACCCCTTAACAGTCTGTGACTACATGTCCCCATCTCACTGAGGAGACTATCATGGCTCAAGAGTTGAGGTATAGCCCCCAAACCCCTTTTTCCAGCACAAGGAAGGACAGAGACCTTCCAAATAACTTCACAAAGATAGCAACCAAATGAGAATGCCCAAAAGAGCTGCTGTTCAAAAAGACTTTGATTTTATTTTGTGTCAAATTGCCTATTCTCAGTGCAGGTGACCCCCCTCCTCCCCAGGAAACACATGGAAGGGGGGGGGTGCCATCTGTGAAGTCTTGGCCTCCATGAGGCCCCAGGGAACCCCATACAGTTCTGAGTTGGTGGGAATCCCGGCAATGATTAGAGTGGGTGGGAGGCAGTGACAAGAGGAGGGGTGGTGGTCACCAGTTAGGAAGCTGAGGTTTGGAGAACCCTGTCCTTGGCCCTGCTCGGCTTTGGGGCTGCCATGTGCATGATGCAGATGGGGGAGTGAGGACATTTTTCCCGACTTTTAAAAAAGCACCCTTTGGCCAGGCATGGCTTTGATTCCACTCAGGGCTCAGGTGAGAGAGAAGCAGGAAACTGTTGTGGGCTGGCTGCTTCATAAGGTGCTGCTGCTGGTGCCCCGGAGTCCGACGCCACGCACAAACTGCTCCAGCAGGCCCCCAATGGCACCAGAAGGACTGGGGGCTACTGCCCGAAGCCCCACTGTGCTGCTGTATGCAGCCAAGAAGGCTGAGCGCACCTCCTGCAGGCGAGTCTCCCGTTCACTCAGGGCTGCGAGCCTATAGAGAGGAGAAAAGAATAAATGCATCACCATGGGGCAGGAGCCAACATCCTTATCCTCATGTCACAATGCTTATCCTTCTGTCTTCATCAGCACAAGATGAATGTCTGTCCTGTGGTCACACTACCCTATGGTTCAGGCCCCAAACATTTGATCCTGTTCCCCTCTTAAACCATTCCTCTCCGTTTTCAGGTTACTGTTCCTACCTAGCAGCAGCACCTTTTATTGGGGCACTGGCCTGACTTCCTATGGGGAACAACCATCTCTGTGATAATGAGGGAGGGGAGAAGCCAAGCAGGAGGGAGTTTGCTCCAACAGCTGTTGGCTTCCATTCCTTAGTAGGAACAAGCCGAGTTACAAGCCTTACCTCTCATTGTAGGGAGAGACCCTAGTATCAGGCACCAGGCCTTGGCTAACCAAAGGCCTCAGCTTTCTTGAGGCCAGGACACGACGTGGAGCATCCTGGGAGAAAATTCTTGGCAGTGCCCTGGAGAGGCCAGGGTCCTCACTGGAAACCCCCAATGTTCTAGCTACACCTTTTTTTAGTCACTGTGACCCCAGGTAAACAGCTAGGAGAGTGCTGGCTTTTCCAGAAAAATTCCTGTTCTGATTCCATGTATTTTTCTTTCTCTGGCCTCTACAGGCACTGATCGGAAGATAGGAAACCCCTCCTCTCTCACTGGCCTGGAATTACAAGTCAAGAAGGAGGTAAGTGCATGAAAACTTAGACTTATCAATGTGTAGCTCCATATGAGACTGTCTGACACCTTGAAGCAGCGGCCGCCAACCGGTGGTCCATGGACCACTGGTGGTCTGTGTGGTCCAAAAGATTGGTGACCACTGCCTTGAAGGATTCTTTAATAGAAGACACCTGAGGTACCAGTTACATCCAATACCTGGACTAAAAGGCATGCAATCTAGAGGTGGGAGGGACATGGAATCAGAGAAAAGGTCAGGAACTCAAATGGAGGGAGACAGGTGACACACCTACATACGATGAACTCTCATGTTCCCATCCATCTAAGCACAAAGACTAGCCCTAACTTACCCCAAAATTTCCTGAAAGAGACCAATCTCTGGATAATCCCTCCTGGGAATTTGTCAGAAGCAGCATAAATGTTCACAATTCCCAAGCCCAAATGATTTGCACCCAAAGGCCTGGGGAACAGATGGAGTTGTGAGAATAAATGACAGTCCTGGGTAAGTATGGGGAGAGCAGATCTAGGGAAGTAGACTGGTGGCAGTGAAGAGTGAGAGTGTGTGTGTGTGTGTGTGTGTGTGTGTGTGAGAGAGAGAGAGAGAGAGAGAGAGAGAGGGAGAGAAATAAGGAGGTGGAGGAGGGAGGGAAGGAAGAAAGAAAAGGAGGGAGGAAGGGGAGGGGAAGGGAGAAGAGGAGAGGAAGGAGGAGGAAGAGGAGGAGGTTGTTTTAGGGAGAAACAAAGTCAAGTAGCTCTTACAGCAGCACTAAGAAAATGGAGCTGATACTGGATTCCTGCAATACCATGAACAACTCCCAAGTATTTCTTGACATTTGGGGCAAATGCATGGCCCTAGATCTTTTTTACTTTCTCAGGTTTCATACAGGCTTGAGGCTATGTGTGCATCTTCAGCTTTTTCTTAGAGAAAGTCCAATTAGTGGTTTGTATTCACAGGGAACATCCAAAGGTCCGTATGAGAGCACTTCTGGGAGACAGAGGGGGAGAGATCACAATCTATTTAGAGACAACAAAACTGGAGTCCAGACAGGAAATATGATTCACTTGTGGACACATGGTAGGCAATGGATAGGCAGGGACTGAAGCTACCATAGTGCCATTAGCTTTTCTCAAGAGATGAGCTAACAGGCTCAGAGAAGTCAAGGCTGATACCCCAAGACATAGCTGGTGAGCAGAGCAGTTAAGATTCCGACTAAATTTCCCTGATAATAAAGCCCAAGCATATACTGAGTGACTTCACCCTGGAGGCCATGAGATCATGTAGAACCTAGCCCTCCTCTGGAAACCACCAGAACCAACCAGAATTCTGAACTATGAACTCAGAGAGCTGCCTAAGGTATAAATTGTAGGATGTGGGACCAGAGTTGCCTATTTCAGTGGCTAATACCAGGTAAGTGAGGGATGCTATTAAGCAGGGGCAGAGATGTCTGTTTACTCCAGAGATAACTCTTAGGCCAGTGTGACAAATAGAAAGTCCCTACAGAAAGGTGCAACTATCTTTTTTAATCTCAAAAATCGAAGATAGGGACCTTGTTTCTGGCTTAAGGGCACGGCTAGAGGCTATACCAGGCACTAGTGGCCTCTTAACTCCCCAGTTGCAAGGCCAGGGCCTGTGAGTGCCATCCTGGAATACCAAGGTCCAGCCCTTGCCTGCCCTCAGCAGGGATCTTCTCAACTCCCAGGGCAGCTTTCTCCAACCAGTGAGCACTGGTGGGAATGAGCTGGATTTCTGGTGGGGGGATGAATCCCTAACCCGAGTTCATTCACCTGTGGTAGGGAGGTGAGGTCCCTCAGGCAGCCACAGCTGAGGTACAGACCAACAAGCTCACCAGAGGCCCTCCCCACTCCTGACATCTATGCAGCAGCAGAGCAGGCAGGGGGCAGGTGACTGCTACAAGGGCAGCTGCTCAAGTAGATACTTTATAGGAGTTGGAAGTCCAATATTTTGTACGCTTTTATAGGCTTGCAAGAGGATTTTATAGGCTTGGGATTTTAATTTTTCCTGACCAGAGGCAAAAGCAGAAGACAAAAATGAGGAGGGATTGCCATGGAACCCTTGGTTCTAATGGGGAGGAGCACAGCCTTAGAGCTAACCCAGCAACATTCTGGCTTTGGTCTCCATCATA